AGCATGGTTTTATTATTGTTTTACCATAATTTTACCATAGTATTACTATCGTTTTACTATGATTTTATTATTGTTTTACTATCGTTTTACTGTTGTTTTACTATCATTTTACCATGGTTTAACCATAGTTTTGTTATAGTTTTACCATGGTTTTACAATCGTTTTACCATAGTTTTACTATCGTTTTACCATGGTTGTGATATCATTTTACCATCAGTTCATTATCGTTTTACCATGGTTTTATTATTGTTTTACTGTTGTTTTATTATTGTTTAACTTTCGTTTTATAGTTTTACTACAGCCAAACCAGCACAGCAAAATTCAGGCCCAACCACAACACACAGTAAGAAAAACACAACATGTTCATCAGTTGATCGTGTGCCCAAATTCAGGCACTGGTATAGGCAGTGTAGGATGAGCTTATTTCACACTGACTGTAACGTGAAGTCTCCTCATTGTACATCATCAAAACTGGAGTTTATGAACAACAGTAAAGCTAAAAGTTTTCTTATAGAAATTTGATTAAGTTTCTAAAAATACAGTATAGCTAAATAACTGGATTGTTTCATATACTAGCCTACCAGCATTTCAAACTTGAAACAATTATGTTTGCTAGATTATGGTATAAATCATTTATAAATAACACACTCTTATTAGTAAAACTTCTTTGTTTGTAATTTACATTTTGTCAATTTAGTGGCTAATTCATACGAGTTCAGTTGTATGTAAAAATACGATTTTAAAAAGGAGGCGTGGCACCCAACCCCGCTCTAAACCCAATTATTATTGGGTGATGAGCAAACTACTAACCTGTATGAAATAAATTGTCCGAGTTTATACAATTAGCCACTAAAACTAAAAGTTACGAATTGCTGTGAGATTACATTGGAAGTACTTTTAATGGTGGATAGTGTGCATCCATAGACATTATAATAGATGTCTGTTTGAGTATCAGTACACACCGATTTTCATGGAGCATTGTGGGACTTTCAGTGTTCTTTTGTGATAATTTTGTGATTGAGACAGCTCTTAAAATGCCTGACACCCTGAACAGTGCTCTGTCTACTGAACAAGGGTGTTAATTGAGACGCACCCTGTGATTACTGTGCTTATTGTGCAAACAGAGGAACATATCTTACTGCACTTTTGAACACTATTACAATCTTAGAGCTGAATATCACTCGAAATTCTGACAAATTAAACCAAATACTATGGCATTCATTCATTCATTCATTTTCTTTTCGACTCCCATTATTAATCCAGGGTTATCACAACGGAATGAACAGACTATGGCATTACCAATGCAGAAAAAATAAGTCAGTCATCAATTGCAAAAGGATTAAAAAATAGCAGCAAGAAATGTATTAGCACACCACAAACTATTGTGAGCCAGTAGACAAAACTGAAGCAAGTACATTTTTAATTTTTTTTTTCTTAAGACTCCTTACATTTTATAAAATGAACAATGCTTCAGACATTCCAGTGCAAGTCTTGCCAATAAAGCTAATTTGATTTTGAGAGAGAGCGAGAGAGATAATATTTGTGCTAAAGATTCTCTGGGTTAGTAACAGCATGCTATTTTATAAAGGAATTAGTTCACAGCATGTGCTTTGTAGCTAATTCTTCTTGCATTGTATGATTATGAAACTTGGATACATTTCTTGGACAATGTCCTAATGGCTTCTCTTCAGGCAGAACTTAAAAACTGTTAATGGAGGATACAAAAGGTGTTTCGCAAGCCACTTTGTGTGAGGCTCAAAATGCTTAAAACTGAGAAAATGACTTAAAGTTTCTCCCAAAAAAAAAGTAGCATTCAATCATCATAATCCTTCTGCCTCAGAAAACCACTTGCTATAGTATAAACATAGATGGCAGGAAACTCAGCTTTGCAAAAGCACAGCATGTGGAAAACAGGTAAATAAAACCAGACTGAGAGAGAGAAAAATGACAAGACAATCTGAACAAAAAGTGGGGTAGAATGTCCCCATCTGTGTGCATTGTGAATCAATCCATCATTTGGTATTCCTGTCAGGATCAGGGCTTAATGTCACTATCAGTGCAGCTGTTTTCCGGCACCCTGACACCAGCTGAGAGACTTTTCCTGAGCATGAAAGCACCACCTTCTCAAGAAACACACTTCATGTGCTTAACGGTTATGGCAAGGTCTATGACCTTCAACCCAGTTTGAGGAGTATGAACTCTATATAGCCCAAAATATCAACTCTAATGTAGGAAGGCACAACTTGTCTTACTGAATGGACACCCTTTAGAAACATGCTGAGAGCTGGACATTAGAAAAAAAGTTTTTGTTCGGGTAAAAAAATAATAATAATGAGTCAAATTACCATTGTCATGGCCCTGATGAATCTTGTCGGTCCTGTCTGTGTCTAAAGTTTCCGTTTGTCTTGCACTTGTCATGGCTTTGCCTTAATTTATGTTGTCCATGTTCTCTTATTGTCTTTCCTCTTTATTTTCATTTACCCCACCCTCTTATTTAAACCTCGTTTCCTGATTGTTTTCACCTGTAGCTCATGTGCTTTGTTCTATATATGTGCTTTGTATTCTTATTTCTTTGCTGGTTTGTTCCATGTGAGCATGTTGTTGCCTTACATAGGGTCTTGTCCTGCCTGTTCTAGTTTTCTTGTTTATTTTTAATCTGTAGCTGATACTTTCTTTTGTTTGTTCTCAGTGTTTACTTGATTTTGTGTTCCCATCTTTGTCTTGCTTTTATCCTTTTAATCGTTTTTGTTCCATTTTTCTGTCAATCCCATCCTAGTAGTTGATTATTGGTTGTCTTTTAGATTGTTGAATTTCTTTTTATTTTAGTTTTATCCACTTTGCCAAGTCAGTCTAGTTTCCTATCTACTAGGAATCATATTTGATTATATATTTTTATTTAGATTTACTGTAGATAATTTTATTGTATAATTATTGCTGTCTAGTAAAATGTGTTTTATTTTTCCAGTCCTATCCTATCTAACTTTGGTTTTGACCACTGTTGCTCCTACTCCTGGCTGGCTGTTGATTCTGGTGACATGTTGTCCCTACCACTGGCTTCCCTGTGTCATTGCCCCAACTGTTTAGACCTTGTCACCCCCTTGTCTGTCTACTTGTGCTAAATTCTGGCAATTAACTTTTTGTCCAGTGCTGCAACTGGGTTTTATTTATTTTTTTTTTTTTATTTTTTTTTTTTTTTTGCAACTAACTGTTTAATATTAATTTTAATTTTATATGGTGATTTTTTTTCCAACCACATCAGCTTTACATTAATCGACAGGAAAACAACAATTAATGAACATCACATGGACAAAAAAGAACAAAACAGAATAGGAGTCTATCTGTGAATAGTTAACTTATTTAGTTTTAATTCAGAGTTGCAAAATTCATAAACTACAAAACAAAGTTGATTGAGTTTTTAGAGCAGCTCTACAGAAGATGATAGAATCATAGATGCAGTTCAATTTAGTTCAAGTTTGGGAACTGGTGGAACGTGTTGATGTAATGGATGAGAGTTTGAGTCTTCTTTTTGCCAAACCCATTTCTGCTTTCTTGGGCTGTGTCTGAACAAATACATTTTCAAATACAAATGCCGCAAACAAATACATTTCACAGTTCTGAACACAACTGAAATAGTATGAAGTAGTAAAAGTATAATTATGTTAAGCATGTTAAGTAACAAAGAAATTTCCCACCCCGAATTTCTTCTTTATTTTATTTTCCTCACTAAATGATTATAGCACCTTGACACACCTTGCTTTGGACTTTTTTTTTTTTTACACCATTTGTCAAAACAAAATTATAGATATAGGAGTCCTAAAGGGCAAAAGAACTTAATGCAATTACTTCTCACATGCATACTGTGAAAGGTGTAGGGTCTGTCTTTGTATGAACAACTGACGTAAACTGCTACTACACCTCTCACAAAGTGAAATAAAAAAAGACTGTAAAATGTTTAGTGTAAAAAAATAAATAGAAACAATCTGCCTGTAATGTTCTATTTTATCAAAATGTTATGGGAAAACTTTTTTATGGGCAAAGAGAAAAAAGTTACCAAAAGGCTTAATGTATCAATTTAATTTAATAAATTTATATAAAATAATAATAATAAAAAACATGGTATAAAAAATGAATCTTGATAGAAGGATTAATAAACATCTCAGTTCCAAAAAAAAAAAAAGTGAATATTCTGACTATTTGTTCAAGTGTCATTTTTAAAAGGGTTAAGATATAATCAAGTATATAAAATTTGAAAATGGAATTTTTTTAATCCAAATAATATTTTCAATTTTATCTAAAATATATTTAGGTCTGAAGTTACATGACATACATTTTGTGTAATCCATCTTATTGTGGCAAAATAATTAATTAATCAATAATAAATAATAATAAAGAACATTTTTTAGATTATTCTTATAACTTTTGACCTCAACTGTACATTTGATTTGACAGTTTATTTTGATAAATATTTTTAAAATCTAAACAGTTACATCTACATAAACACTTTACACTTGTGAGTGTGTGCCTACATGTTATTGTTTTAAATGATTTTGAATAAAAACGTGTGCAAACTCATTCCTACACTGTAAAAAATAAAAAGTTGAGTAAACTTAAAATTTTAAAGCAACCGGCTGCAAAGAAATTTTGAGTTTACTCAACTTCAGTGGTTGAAGTTGTGCCAAATTATTTTTTTAAGTTGACTGAAATGGCTGGTTTAAGTCATGACAACTTTCAAGCCTAAGATAATCTAACTTGTCATTATGAGTTTGCCTAAAATAAAACAGGGGTTGAGTAAACTGTAATAAATGAGTTGGCACAGCTTAACAGAAGTTCAGTTAACTCAAAGCTGTGCAGCTGGTTGCCTTAATTTTTTAAGTTGATTTAATCCTTATCTTTTAATTCATAATTTTACGGAAATCTTATATCTGCGCTTCTCAAACAAATACCTGTATGACTCTAAGTATGAAGTTAAGAGATTACAAAACACACTATAAAACACAATATCAAAGAATATATTTATTGACAATTCTGCAAACAGTTTTCTGTCCAAATGAAATGTACTGCAGTCCAGAGAAGGAAAAGAGGCAACAAAAAGGTAAATCCTCAAATCCTATATTGCCTTTTAAGTGCTCGAGTTAAGCAAAAGTAATATTTAAAATGCTTGCACTATCAACATTTTTTTCAAAGTGCAAGAGTAATTAGTTTTGTCACGATATTTTAATTTTGTTACCCATCAGTTCTATAATTTTAAAAACGTCCATTTCCTGCTAACATTTGAGCGTTGTTGACCATGTTTTAAACACTGTTATATTGCCATTGTGTTCACATGCTCAACAGAAAAGACTGATTGGGCGTGAAGATCATCAGTTCACCAAACTCACTGCTGTTTACTGAGTGTAACCACAGATACAGGGACACTTAAGAATTTCACATTGATCAACTGGTCTGTGTATAAGCTGACACAAGTGGTACGCTGTGTGTGTGTGTGTGTGTGTGTGTGTGTGTGTGTGTGTGTGTGTGTGTGTGTGTGTGTGTGTGTGTGTGTGTGTGTGTGTGTGTGTGTGTGTGTGTGTGTGTGTATCTGTGTTTGCACTCCATGAACATCAGTGAAGAGCAGTGAAATGGTGAACTTCTCAGCCAATCACAGTCATTTATGTTGAGCGCTTGAACACAACACCCAATCTATCAATTGGTGGGAAATGGATGTTTTTAAAATTTGAAAATGTAAAATCAAAACTGAATTTAAGTTTGGTGACAACACCAAGAGTAACACAATTTCAGTGTACAAACAAATGCATTCAAGGCCAATAAACACTTTCTGAATAGTTTCAAAGATGTGTTTCAGTTCTTTGGGGTAGTTCATAATGAGGAAATTAATCAAACCAAAGAGGAGAACAACAGCTGTCGGAAGATCTTTTCCAGCACGATTTGCTCTTCCAGAACCACAGACAGGCACCTTACATTTAGGTTGGTCTGAAGAGTGGCAACATCATCTTCAACAGTGCTAAGGATGTCCATCTCCATCTCTATTGTGCAAATATCTTCTGGCTCTGTGTCCTGCAGTAAAAAGAAACATAAAAAGAGGATGAAAAACTATTTTTACTGCTAAATCACAAACATCTCCAAAAAGCAAGGTAAAAAAAAGCAAAGGCAAAGCAACTTAATTTGGAAACTGAAGGTAGTAATGTCAGTAACACAGTCATTTATATACCTTCTATTTATAAAACATTTCAGGTAACACTTTTATAATAATGAATCATTTATTAAGCATTAGCAAATAGTGAATTGATTATCCGTTAAGCATCAACTCTACATGAATAAACATTAGTAAGCTATTTAATAAGTACTAGTATCTAATAAATAAGTACTAGTATCTATTAAATAGATACTAGTACCTAATGAATAAGGACTAGCATCTAATACGTAAGTACTAGTATCTATTAATTAGGTAGTAGCATCTCAGTAATAGGTACTAGTACCTAATGATTAACTACTAGTAGATAAAAATATGCACTAGTCACAGCTGGAATACATACTAGTCAAAACTGAATAGTTGATATCTCAATTAGAGATCCCATAGAAATGAATGGGAAAATTTTTAATTCATTACGAGTAACAACAGAATAGTTACTAGTCACTATTAAAATAAGTACTAGTAACTAATAAATAAGAACTAGTATCTATTTAATAAGTACTAGTATCTAATAAATAAGTACTAGTAACTAATAAATAAGAACTAGTATCTATTTAATAAGTACTAGTATCTAATAAATAAGTACTAGTAACTAATAAATAAGTACTAGTAACTAATAAATAAGAACTAGTATCTATTTAATAAGTACTAGTATCTAATAAATAAGTACTAGTAACTAATAAATAAGAACTAGTATCTATTTAATAAGTACTAGTATCTATTTAATAAGTACTAGTAACTAATAAATAAGAACTAGTATCTATTTAATAAGTACTAGTAACTAATAAATAAGAACTAGTATCTATTTAATAAGTACTAGTAACTAATAAATAAGTACTAGTATCTATTTAATAAGTACTAGTAACTAATAAATAAGAACTAGTATCTATTTAATAAGTACTAGTAACTAATAAATAAGTACTAGTATCTATTAAATAAGTACTAGTAACTAATAAATAAGTACTAGTTAGTACTTAATGGAAAAGAACTAAGAAAATGGATAAGTACTAGTAACAAGAAAATAGATACTAGTACGGGCTATAGAATAAAAGTTAAAACGGCTTGCCATAGGTCATCAGCTATTGTCACATTAAACCAGATGCTCAGACCCTGAGAGATGACAGGTGGCACCACTTTACAATTGAAGGGCATTAATTATGGTTATTCACAGGTTAGTCATTTTGATCAGAAATTCCCAACATGTTTTAATTATTAAAAATGAAATTTGCTTTATAATTATTGTTGCAGCACCTGTTTTCACTCCCTGGTCTGCCGGACTCAGTCATGGTTGTTCTACTAAAGACTAAGTGATGAAAATGTAGCATCCTTTACAGAGGTGAAAACAGTGCTACAAACTTTTCTTTTAGGGAACAAACTGTTTTGTAACTTCAAAGATTAATTACCTGCATGAATTCCAATATTGCACACAAAAAGAGAAACTCCATGGTAAACTCCATAAAGTTTAATATGCCCCCCTTTAATCAGTGATATGATTGAATGCTAAATAATTACTTGATTGTCCAGTTGGTTCAGGGCGGTTCTTATTATCTCTCCATATCGCCCACCACATGATCCATAAAACTTGATAGCGTATTCATCCGAAAAAGAGAAGATATCTTTGAGGTTTGTTTGAGTAATCCTGTAAAACTCAGCATAGACCTACAAACAGACCATAAAAAATGAATAGTATGAATTGTGAACAAGGGTTATACATTTTGAAATAAATAATCTCAAATGCAAACTTGCCTAAACTCCCAAAAACATGCAGGCCACTGTTTTCGGACATCAGCTACAGGAGGTTAAAAAAATCAAATAGTCAGTAACTGCAGCAGACAGCAGTTAATTTGCTAATGTCAAATGTGATTTTAATGCACCTACAGTCTTTAAAGTGCAGAAGCAGTCTGCGAACAAACAAGGCTGCTGCCAGGATGGTCCTTGATAGCGATGTAGTCTGTAGTGTAACTTCTCAGCTACTGTTTACAAATTTGCAAAACTTACACTGCATTCCAAACCTATAAAAAAGTAAATAAAAATGTAACATTGCAGGTCAAATTGTTTTCATAAATTAAACTGATGTTTTTAAAAAGCAAGGGAGGGGTGGTATATATATATTTTTTCATTTAATAAAAAACAATATCATACTCCTAAAAAAAATGCAAAATAAACATTTTTAACAAAAAATATTTATTTATTTTTATTATTTGAAACTTTTAAAAGGATTTTTTAAAAAATAGCTTTGGCACAATGGCGCTCCCCCATGTGTGTCGCCCCTTTTTGCAACCCTGATTTCAGACACAGTTTTTGTTTACATAACAGATTGCAAAGGCATTTGACTTTTTTATGAATACAACGATAAGAACTGTAAAACTGTTTTTTATATTTGAAAAACACATCTTTACAAACACATTTTGGTTTCCATGAACATTCTGTCAAAATGTATTTTTGCTTTCAAAATAAAGAGGCCTATTTTATTCAAAAATCAATGCGTTGATTCAACACAAAGACTCTCTGGTGGAGTTTTGATTGCTCGGATATGAGAACGACAATCCCAAGGGTTTTAATTGAGACAACAACAAAAAAGAGCTGCATGGTCCTTGAAGATCTCCTATAATCAAGGCTCACAATCAATAGCGGCTAAGTCTTAAGTTTGGAGAAAATATTGATTAGAAGCTTGAAATGTTGAGTACTGTCTGAAGGATGTGGTTTATGCTTGTTTTGCCTGTTTCCTCCCCTGGGTTTTGCATAGTCTACTGCAATAATATTTCTGTGTCAATTAGCGCTTCAAGGACACAGCTGGATTCCTTTTCAGATTTTTTCCTTTTGCTTCTTTAACCGTTTGTCACATTTAGTCACTCAATGAAAAAATGGGAGGAAAAAAACGCTAAATCAGTTACTAGTATGAACCACCAAAGCTTTTGTCAACATAGCCTTGATGCACATGACTTCAAGGGAAACAACTATATTTGTTACAACATCCACATCTGTAACATTTCATAGATACACTTAGAACTGTCCTTGTAAAGTGCTTCTATAATGCTGAGAATTAAATAATCTTGCAATATGTCATTTGAGAGACAGACTAATACTCGGCCATCTGTGATGGTAAATTCTCCTTTGTGTGCTAATGTGTGAAGGGCTTAAAAGCTAATCAAACTGCTGTGGAGTGTAAAGCGGCATTTTCATCTCGTATGATGTGGTTTGACGCTGCTCTCATTCACTGATACTCTTCTGCTGCAGTTACATAAGTGTCAAGAAACTGTGATAAAAATCACACACACACACACACACACACACACACACACACACACACACACACACACACACACACACACACACACACACACACACACACACACACACACACACACACACACACACCATCAGTCTTTAACTGAAATATTAAACATTCACTGGTTAACACAACCCAGCCCACCCCTGCTGTGGCTATTGTAAGGTAGTGTTTTTGGAACTAATTACCAATGTTTTAAGGACGTATACATTTATTTAAGTCCTTAAAAAGTGATTATATAAACGGGTCACATCACCACACACACACACGCACTATTAAAGGGGCTGCCACGCCACTGATAACGTGAGCAGACTTCTGACGTGGAAATGACGAAGTTCAAAAGTAAAAATATAATAAAGACAAACAAGGACAATATTTATTTTTTTAGGTATATGGGGCTTCTATGGTAATGCATGATTATTAAGATATTTTCTGTATTTAGTAACATACAAATACTGTACTGTAAACACAGCTTTTGCTGCTCTAATTGACTTAACGCTGAAATCAATTATTGTTAACATTTAAATCAGTCTCGTCATTCTGTCACCATGGCAACTTGAATTGGTTTAAACATCCACACAACTGTCTATAAAGTAATCAGTGCTGATCATCGCGCTACAAACTTCTGCACAAATCTCCCTTGGCAAAGTTTCAGCAGTTTGAGAAGTGTTTGAAGTTGTTCGTGATGACTCTGCGGCGCTCGAGAAGAACCAGGACGCGCCCCGGGCACCTGAAGGACTTCCTGCTAGAGCGCGTCTCTTCCTCTGAGGAGCCAGCAGCGGCGGCCAGGCCGGACACCTGCAGCTCGTCGGACACTTCCCTGGAGGAGAGGTACCTGAGGAACGCGGCTGTTCTTCCTGTCCTCCGTCCCGCAGCATCAGTCTCCTCAGCGGGTGAGTGTCCACAGGAGGAGCCCCTCTCCATCCACGGTCGGAGTGTGCAGGACTTCCAGCACATCTACTGCAGTGTGATGGGCTCCACCAAGAAGAGACGCGCTAGCCGATACAGTCTTCAGCAAGGACTCGAGATCAAGCAGCGGCTCTGGGAGAAGCTGGACCGGCCTGCACTGGAGGAGACCGAGCAACCAGATGGACGTGTGATCATCACAGAGAGCAGGTCCGAGTCCAGCGTCGCTCCTAGATTCAGGGTGGACATCAGCAAAGAGCCACTGCCCAAGGAGCCCCGGAGGAAGAAGCCCAGGCACTGAGCCATACAAGTGCCAGATGAAGGATCAAGGGCACGTATGTACATACTGTATATATTGTATATAGTTATAGAATAAGTTTGCATGACATCAAATTTAACTTTTCATTCAAGTTTTATCACATTGCTGGATGTTTTGGTGACGGTCAGTGCTGCAGATATTCAGCTCTCAGGTTGTTGGGTTCTTTTGGATGGTTTGCTGGATGTTGACATACGTTCAGCAAGGTTGTCTAGGCGGTTTCTTGCGTGTTGCTGGTCTCCTCTGAGTGGTTTTTGGCACATTAGTGGTTGTTAGTTGTTAGTGTTGGCTGTTGGGTTAGGGTAGGTTAGGGTCCCTCACACGGTTTGCAGCTTGACGTGCTGTGAGGGCTTGTGTGCATCAGTGATGCTGAGAGCTACGCCACTGGTACTTCACAGCTACCGGTAGGGTCACCCAGAGTGGACAGGTCTCAGCTGAGATGCCCGACCAAGGCAAACCTGATTCTTGACAGCAGGAGATTGGCCTGATGCTCCAGACAGAAGATGCCACCTGAATGGCCAAAATAAACTACAAAATCACACAAAATCACACACACAAACACACACACGCACACATACACACCACACACACACCACACACACGCACACACACACACACACACACACACACACGCACACACACACACACACACACACATATACATATATATATATATATATGTGTGTGTGGGTTATTCTCACGAAACCAGTAAAACAACGTAGCACTTAAGATTTTAAATATAAAACTTAGTAATTTGTTAGCAAAAAAACATTATAATAAAGACTGTTCTCTACGAAGCACAATGTGTAATTTCAACATAATTTATTTATTTTAATCATTTTACTGCATTTTCTACTGAAATTCTCATTACCGAAACGTGTCCATGCATGTTTGAACGTGTGTTATGTTGTAATTTAAACAAATTAGCATAAAAGTTTTTGAATAAAAACAAATGAGTTGTTTTAATAGATTATCTTACATGACAAAACAAATAGTTTACAGAATAATCATGTATAATGACAATTAGAAAAAAATGAAAAATTAGGTGTCCGTGACAGATGTTCTCATCCTCCGCAACCATTTTAAAGTGCTGTTTAAACACACATAAAGAGTTTAAATAAAGTTTAATTTTGTATAAAGAAGCACATGGGCCAGTTGTTTTAAGATGACTGCCAGGAAAGAAAATCTTTTATATTTTTCCAGTTTAATGTAAAATTTTCTCCTGTAAAAATGGTTACACAACTTTTTGATTATTATTACCGAAACAGGAAGTTTTCTACAATAACATAATTGTTAGATTTGCAAATTTTTATGAAAACAAATTTTTTTAAAGTCTTAATTATATGCACTGAGAATTTTTTTTTAAATCCTCATAGCTTCCCTATTATTTGCAAAACATTGAAGCACCTCATTCTCCGCAACTCTTTTCTCTTATAGCGCAACCATTTAGGGACAGTTGCGGTAGAGAGAACATGTATTCCGGGAATGAGAATTTAAGTAAAATTGCATACTAAATTCAAATAACTCTTTTGAATTTAATGTTAATTTTAAAATATACTAACTGTTTATATTTTGCTTTGATTTGTTTCATTTTAAACAGTCAGCAATGAAAAAAATAAAATCTTCAGCAAAAGCCAGGTTGGAAAAAAATGTACAGCAACCCAGAACTACTTGAGGAGTATAGAAGGAAAGAAAGAGAGAGGTTAGATTTGGAGATGGCATAGCAGGTGTAATTACTCAAAGAAACACTACAGTGTTAGGAAATCTAATCATTTAAGTTAATAATTTAGTTTTGATCTGCACACACGCAGTGTACAAATGCGCATACACGCACACAAACACACACACACAGAGCTAGCGAAATGTGGGGAAAGGCGTAACGCAATTGTTGTTTGCTAGTTTCAGCTTGGTGCAGGAGTCGTTTTGAGGTTTTGCGCCACGCTGTTTAAATAGCAAATGCATTTGCGCTCATATTTGCGCCCTTAGGTGTTCTGCTCTAAAAAGGAAGGCGTTCTGAGGAGCATTGCTGGCGCGGTGCTATTTTGAGAAACTATAATAGATTTTTCAATAGACCAGAACAAAGTAAATTGTAAAATATTACAAAACATATTATTTTTTAGCCTACATAAATATAAAAACCCTACT